TGGGGTTCTTGATTAGGAGTAGGATTGGATTGGTCTGGGGTGTTGTTGTTTTGGCTAGTGGAGTTGGGTTTTTTTTGATTTTGACTTTCTTGTTCGGTCTGGCTGTCAGGTTTGGTTTTTGGTTGTTCTGATGTTTGGTTATTATTTGATTGGTTGGATGAATTGTCATACCGTGCTTTTTTTCATTTTCTATCTTCTTCTACTTTCTTTTTCATTTCTTCGTAATTGGCTCAAATGTTTTCTCGGTAGCCCATTTCTCCTATTATTAAATAACGTGTTTCAAAACAATTTAAACTACCTCAACCATGACCATTTATTTCTATTCTAGTTTTCTTGTTTCTAAAATTTATCCTCCCCCCATAAAGAACCAACTCTCAGTCATTTATATTGCTTAAAATATTATCGACCATTTTCTCTTGAATTTCTACAATTCCCTCCGGAGTTAAGGCTTCTCTGCCAATGTAGCAAAAAATATTATCTTCATTGTCTCCTCCCAACAATTCTGGGTCAACATTAAAAAAATTACCACTAGCATCAATAATGTATTTATCAAGATTAGCCAAAATATAATTTTTGTTGACCTCTTTTTGTTCGGGAGTTAGCGATGCCTCTGACATGATTTTATTAATTTTACTTTTGAATTTGAGGATAATAGATTTTTTTATTCATTTTTAGGGCTGATTTTTATAATACTCACTAATCAATTTTATCAATTCTTTCCCTTTTTTTTGATCTCCTCTATAATGGAGTCAGGCTCCTTTTCCTCCATAAGCAAGAGTGGCACTCCATTCTAAGAGTTGACCGAAACTAACATGACGATTAGCCACCCACGTTGGTAATTGTTTGTCATCATTTGCACTACTCTGCATATCGACTCGGGTATCATTCAGCCACTTATCCCACCAACCTTTTTCTCGGTCCAATTCTCGTTGAATATTTTCTAATCGTTGTTGGGTTGGTCTTTTGCTGTAATCGTTATTTCATTGTGCTAATGTAATACTTGGACGATCATCCCGTTCTGTTTCCAGATTTTTTACTTCATTTTCAAGTCTAGTTATCTCACCATCTTTTAGATTTAATTCTTGATGCAAAGTATCAATAGTATTATCGGCAAGGGTTAATTGTTGATTCAAATCGTCTACTTGATTTTGCAAATCCTCTATTTGCCCCTCTTTTTCAATCAATTTAGCCCTTAATTTTACCATTTGGGCTTTTAGTTCTTTAATTGCTTCTGATTTCTTTTTACTTCTAAGCAAAGAACCTAAAAACTTTCCTTGTAGACGACCGAGCCTAGTTTGTAAATTATCTAGTTCTGCTTGTATTCTATTTCTTTCTCGTTGCTGTTCGGCAATCTCTCTTGATAAATCATTTTTTTGAGTAGTTAAGTCAATTACCTCTTGGTTTTTGCCAACTAGCAAACCCCGTAAAAAAGATAAACCGCCAGTTAATTCACTAATTCTTTTGCTTTTTTGCTTATTTTTGAGTAAAAAGTTTATTAGATTTCTTTTTAAATTTTGCTGAACGTTATCTCTTTCTCTAATTAATTCAGTTGTTTGAGTTTGTAATTCCTGGTTATTGTCCCATTTGGATTCTAAATATTTGTTTCTTCAAGTGTTTTTTAAGTTTTGGGTTTCCTCTAATTCTTTTTTTATTTCGGCAATAGTTTCTTGACTTAATTGTTCTTGTTCTTCCAACTTTTCAATTTTTTGGAATAATTTAATAAGTTTTTTTTCTAAATTATTGATTGTAAAAGATTGTTGGACAAAGATTTCAACCTCGTTTTCAATAGTAATTCCCTTAT